CTCTGCCTATTTGAACAGCAAGCACGTGTAACTTTACCGACACTCAATCAGTTTTCGCGGTATAATCTCGATAATGCCTTGGGTACGTTACCCCTTATCTACCTCCCCATTATGATCCGCATTTGTAAATGGAGTGAAATCAAATGACTGAATATACTGTAAGATGTAAAACAGTGAAATGAATTGTTCAATTTTCTAAGGCTAGGCTTTTGAAAACAATACAATACTAGGGCGTATTTACCATTCTGATAATTTATCAATGCAGGAAAAATCAGAACTGGAAGGAGCAAAATCCCGTCCGATGCCCTCGTTTGACGTGAAAGCAGGTAACGTAACGCATCGCTACAGCTCTCCGCCTTTCATTCCCCGGAAGTATTAGGCCGACTTTCCTTAAAATGTGTACAAGAAAGGATCGTTTTTTGGGGGCAGGGGGAGGGGAGAAAGGGGTGAATCTTCCGCACGCTCAGGCCTTCAGGGAATACTTTCTCATCTTAAATGAACACAGAAATCGCTTGTGTTCCCAGAACTTCTGCAAAGTGTAAATTTGGAAGTAAGGCGTTCTGGTTGTTCAAAACCATATACTATCCTTCGAGTAATCTAAATATATAGGAAAAAGGATATTAAATAATTTAGCTTGTAGTATGATATTGGAACGTTTATGTTACAATTTTGTTGTTATTGTTACTTTCTTAACATTTTTAATTCCCTGTTGTGCACAAGCCTTCGATGCGTCGAATTCCAGAAGAGAGACTATGGATAAACAAATCAAAGTTCAAGGTATCTTAAGATTTCTATATACATGTATTAATTTAACTGCTTTCCTGTTTTCTATCGGCAAAAACAAAACACTTCAACCAAAGTAAGAAATTGTTGCCAAAACTGAACGTTACATCTATAAGGTCTATAAGTCGCAGCTGGTTTCTTCCATTTACCATGCCTACATTTTATTTTTCTCAAAAAGACTATTTTGACTATTTCAGTAAATGGGCATCTTCGTTGGGATACCTCTTCCAACGAAATCGTAGGAATGGTTGCTTTGCTTTTCTCTTGCAATGTGTCCATTAATTCGAAATTCAGTGCCCGAGAATGATTTTTTATTACGTGAACGCATAAAAGGCGGTATAGACCTCTCGTCTTAAAACCGTCGCCCTGGAGTTTCTCCATAGCTCGGTGCAAAAACGTGGGAAACTGATTGTTGTCGTTGCCGCTGTCGTCGTCATCGTCGCCGTTCTTTTTGTTGTTTTTTGTTTTGTTTCGTTTCTTGTCTTCTAAATGGATGCCCTAAGGGTTAGCACTAACCCGCTGTCCTTTTCACAGCTGTAGCTGGACCTGGTGCAAGACCGAAACAGAGAAAACCGATTGAGATATCTGGGAAAACTCAGGACAGACACAGTGGGAAAAATAGTAAGAAACATATTGATCTCTTGATAGGATACCCTAAAGGTGACTTAATTAGTTGAAAACTTTCGGTTCCACTGACTGGGACCAAAACGGTCAAAACATAAACCAAAGCCGCCATGTATAACCGACGTAAATGTAATAACAGGTCATTATTTAATAAAAGCTCCTAAGTGTACATCACTGGCCATACTGTTGCAATGGTGATAGCTTCTTTAATATCATTAGCTGCCCTCTTTTTGTTTTGTTTTGTTTTGTTATTGGGCTTTTTTTTTTTCTTTTTCTTTTGTTTTTTGTCTTCTAAGCTAAAAAAAGGGGTTAGCACTAACCCGCTGTCCGTTTCTCAGCCGTAGCTGGACCTGGTGCAAGACCGAAACAGAGAAAACCGATCGAGGTATCTGGGAAAACTCAGGACAGAGACAGTGGGAAAAAGAGTAAGAAACATATTGATCTCTTGATAAGATACCCTGAAGGTGACTTAACTAGTTGAAAACTTTCGGTTCCACTGACTGGGACCAAAAGGGTCCAAACATAAACCAAAGCCGTAATAACAGGTCATTATTAAAAGTGCCTAAGGGTACATCACTGGCCATACTGTTGGTGATAGCTTGTTTTCATTAGCTGCCCTCTTTTTGTGGAGCCAGTTGCCACATGGGCTCACATTGTTAGCTTCACTAAGTGTTTCTTAAACGTGCTTTTAATTCGTTAGTTAAAGGTGGCTCAAAACAGTTTTCAGTACTTTTTCACCACTTCTGCTTTGATATCTTAAGACTTAAGATCATTTTTCGGTTGATGCTACGATATTGACATGTACGATACAAATGAAGACGTGAAAATTCTGGAATAACATCAGAAACTTGCTAGTGGGTTTAAAATAATTTCTTGGGTCAACCTTGCTTCTCTTCGACTGATGCTACGATATTGACATTTATACTACGAAACTGATGAAATTCGCATTAGAAAAATATAATTGTTAAATACGAAAGCTCTTCCTTAAGGGTTAAAACAAAAAACATACAAATAAATTTTTCGGTTGGTGCCATAAAAATGATGGTAAAAGAATTTCCAATCATTGGTATAAAAGTTTTGGTCATTTTCGTGAATCTTAGCGGTACTAAAGCAACCGCCAAAACCATTCAAAAACACCCTTAACTTTAACCTTAATTGCTTGTAACTAAAAAAAAGGAGATGAATCTTGAATTCGCTTATAAAAAATGGGGGTCACTAAGCTCTTCTATGAGTTATAAGCACTTGTAGCAGTAAATGTAGTATATACAATTTCAAATGTAGTAATGTCAAATAGTTCTTTGTATGTAAAGTAAAATTGTTTCTTTTCCTTTATTTATCTTATACTCCATGGGTTAACAGTTGAAAGAAGCATAAAGCAATAGTACTGGTCACTTGAAATGTCCATTTGCGTGTGTAAAGTTAGGATTTTTTCTTTATTATGAAAGAAATTTTACAGAAACGAAAACGGGGGACACGAGTTGGTGTCTAGATATTCAACATTTTGCTTATTTTCTCATAGCTAATTTGTGCGTATATTTCAAATCCTTGATACAGTATAATTGCAAATAAAACATTAGGTTAACAGCGAATGTATAAAATTAATATAAGTTTAAAACATTAGATTGACATTTTTCATGTACTCTTAACAGAACACAAGGACGTGGGCTGCAAAAAGAACGACAAGGCTAGAGGCCCGATAGAATTAAAGCCTCAGTGCCGAGGACCGGCTAGTTTGAATGTTTCACATGCAATGGAAGGCTGGCGGCCCCTTCCCGATGAATCATCTGACTCCGAATGGGGTGTATCTAATATAAACCAAATAGCACATACATCAACCAAAGCAGGACATGGATGGACTCCGGTAACTTCAAAGAAACAGAGACTAAAGTTAATGGCCAAAAGTTCTTCTAGTTCCGACTGGCCATCACTGCCAGGACCTTCCTTTGTAGAAGATAACGGTAGTTTGCAAGGGTCTAACTCGACTGCAACAAAACGTTTTCCCGCTCACCCTGTCGAACTTCAGGAACCCAAATCCGAGCAAAAATCAAGAGAACAATTAAGGGGAGGGTTTGCAGACAACACGGATTACGTCCCTCAACAATCGCTGAATTCATCACGTCACTTGGAATCTGCAAGACTAAACTCTTTGCTCAGCCATGCAGATTCCCAGAGACAGAACTTATTTTCGACAGATCAAGAGTCCTTTTGCCGTCCAGATGGTACACACACTGGACTCACAGAAGCAAAAATGCCTGTCCGTTCCAGTTACCCATCTTCGAATTTATCCCCTGAAACGAGGACAGTGGACTTTGGAAACACACCCAAATCGCAATGGGAGTGTCTTGAGCAGATTTCTCCTCTCCAGATTTACCACTCCTTGGATTTAGCAAACAAAACAAACAAAGGCGTTTTGAATACCAAAGCTGCGTCGGAACCACCTCTCGATACAGATGTTTCACCACAAACAGGATTAAATTTCAGTTGGGCTCCTCCACCAGGAGTTTCCACTCTTTGTGAGCATTTCCTGCAGGATAACAGAAAAGGACAACCTTTCCGATATCCAAAACCTTGTTCAAACTGCACAAAGCGTTCGAAGCTTGCGTACGGAATTTGGAGAAGCAACACTAAAGAGTGGCAGGTGATGAGACCCTACCCAAGAGACGTGAGCCCTCTTGTTCCTTTCCAGCTCTGCTGGCACTTCACTGATGGCGTCAGATGCCAAAAAAATCCTTGTACATTTGCCCATGGCATGGAGGAGTTAACGTTCTGGACTTCAGAAAGACAATCAGGTAGGTTATAATCCTACCCTGAAGTTGACACGCAGAATCAAACGACAAAATGCTTGTTTGTTTGTTTGTTTATTTTGTTAGTGTGGGTAGGTGCGGTTGTGATACAAACATTTCCAGTGGACAGTATGAGCGGTGAAGAACGTTTAGTAGCTTTTCCTCTCATGTGATTAATATTAAACTTGAAAAACCACTTAATGCTTCTTACTGAAAGCTTTATACACCAACGACGCGCGTTGTCTTTGGCGACATAATGAACACGTAAACTTTTACCCAAGTACATTCGCTACTAGTTACCCAATCATTATAATTTATTATTATTAAGCATGAACTAAGTGATATTTCCTCTGCAGGCCGTGCCCCGTTTGGACAGATTGCTAGTCCTGAAGGTTCGCCTGAAGGGAATGATTTCCAGGACATTCCTAAGCCCCAAGAACGCGTCCGAGAATCGTTGATCATTCGTGGTATAAGGTCAAATAAGCCAAGGCCTCCTCCAACCGGGGTATACAATGGAAATTTTCAATTGTGTAAATGGTAACGCCCAATTTTTTGAAGGATATTTTGCTGTTTTAACTTAATTTGGCTTTAATTTATTATCAACGGAAGTTTTCTTCCGTAATTAGATTTAAGAATATTAACGATCTTTGTGCACATACAACCTAGGTGGAAGTCTGGTCGAGTGTGCAGGTACGGGACATATTGCACCTTTGCTCACGGCGAAAACGAACTGAAATCATGGATGGGATACAACAAGGAAATTCAGGAAGCTAAAAGCGAAGAAGAATTATCCTTGCAAAAACCGGAAAGGAGTGCAGACATTTCAAGAAGTGAGGTACAGGTACCGTACCAAGTCAGCAGTAGATATAGTGCACGTGCATGGTGTTAATGTGCACGATAATTACTTGGCATGCCCAAGAGTATGTTATGGCTTGCTCGCATTCCATTCCCAGCCACCGTAAAACCATTTATCTATACATTCATTTCGTTTCATTTGACTTTGTTGTTCTTGCTAGATGGTTTACAGTCTCCCTGGTGTAGAGGTCTCATGCAATAAACCTACGAGCGTGAAGATCCTCCTTGGCGGGGACGAGAGGCGCCGTATCTTTCATTGGGAATTTACGGTCAAATTCGAGGTAATAAAAAAACAGCTTTCGTTCTACTAAACTAAATTGCATTGTAAACACAAGTTACGGTAGCCCACAACTGTCACGGCAAAAGAAATAACCTCAGCGCAAAAGTAAAAGACTGATACTCACGGCAAAAGAAATAACATCACGGCAAAAAGAATGACCGGCGGGAACACAACAAGACTTGCGGCCAAAGTAAAAGTCTTACGGTGAAAAGAATAACCTCACGGCAAAGGAAATAACCTCACGGCCCTCACGGCATAAAAGAGAGCGTGGGGGCTGGGGCAAGTTGTCGAGGTGCACCAGTCTTTCTGAGTCGAGTCTTTTTGTTTTGTTTTGCCGTGAGGTTATTATTTCTGCCATGAGGTTTTTCTTTTTGCCTCGAGGTAATTTCTTTTGCGCGAGTCTTTTATTATTGCCGTGAGGTTATTTCTTTTGCCATGACAATTGTGGGCCACCGTAACAAATATATGAATTACCTTAAATTTCATTATATGTCACATTCCTTCGTCCGTACGCCATGGCTGTAGCAAACTATTTTCCCGTGTGTTCTTTCCAAGTTCTCAAGTATGTCTCATTCCTGCTTGGTTCAGGCATTTGGCGTCTCAAATACCACGCCTGCTTGTCTTGTATACAGTCGGTATATGAGAGAGCATATCATTGAATTTTCCCTCTAAGGCAAGTGTAGTTAATCCTTTTGAGGTGCTTTGATTTCGTAAATGCGTGTTTCGCAAGCGATCTCCCTCAAACCGGTTTATAAGACTTACTAAAGCTACACCAAGTGTCACTTTTTGTTTTATCAGATAAGTGAAGTTGGCAAGCTATGTGAAATTGCTCTCCTTCATCGCTATCACGACTGCTATCGATTGACAAAGATTATTGGCTTTCTTAACAACGTCGAGATATTTTCAGAAGTTCCTAGAGAGCTATGGTCCTACAATCTTCCTAGTGGCAGTTGGAATGACACAAAACAGGGCCAAATGAAAGTTGTCGTATCTGTCTCCTTTGAAACCACAGCGAGTAACCGGACCTTTACGCAGTGCCTAAGATTTGACTTTGGCAAAAAGCCCTTTTTATTGCAAGGATTAAATGNTATCTGTCTCCTTTGAAACCACAGCGAGTAACCGGACCTTTACGCAGTGCCTAAGATTTGACTTTGGCAAAAAGCCCTTTTTATTGCAAGGATTAAATGTGGACATAGCACGTGAGGAGGCCTTGAGCTCTCTCTCAGCCACACGACAAGAACTGAAACTGCATTCCTCTGTATGGACAGAGAGGTCAGCGGACATTGTTCCATGGCCAGAGACCACCGACATGGGCAGTCAAGATCTACTGAAGGAGTACAAACTGCCTGAGAGGATCGAGAATGTAGTTTCAGCGCAGATAATCGGCGGAAACATGACGGTGGACAACTATCAAAGAGTGATGCATCAACTGTTGTTTACTGAGGAGCTCTTCATGAAAAAGGCAATTTCAAGGTAAACGTCCGTAGATGCTCATGAATTTAAATCACAAATAACAGACAGTTATATTGATCGGTGCATTTTACAGTGATCCCCAAGTTGCTAATTTTAAAAATAACTGTCATTTTACTTTACTTTTAATATGCGTTTTTTCGTTCAGCGTTGACAGGCAGCCTTATACTCGGAGTGAGAACAACTTGACTGAACCTGAACCAGAAAATCCTGGTTGCGGTTTGATTGTAAAGACCCAAAGGTGTCAAAGTTCGATAACGGCTCTGAACATGCGTAGAGAGAATGATTAATGCTGGCTCAACTTTCGGAATCACTCAGTGGCCCTGACTCTGGCTGCTGGTCAAAACGACTCTGGCCTCTGAGATTGTATTGTGCATGTCATTTTGGTCAGAAGATCTACGACAACAAACGGCGACACTAATAAAACAGTAATATTCTTGGCGCTATGTTCACCCCCTTCTACCTCCTAGGCTACTGTTTCCTGGGCAAAGGCATGACCCATTCATTGAATGAAAACTAACAGCTAGTTTTGTTTCCTCTTCATAGCTTTTTCCTTCAGAATGTCCAGTTAGATTGTCAGCAGAGTATCAGTGATGATTGGTCTGGAGTGGTTTATGCTGGAATTGGCGAGTTGTTTGGAATTGTTCAATTCCAAGAAAATGAATCCCTCCAACCAGATGATGCAGCAGGTAGACTTTTCATCAGAAAAGTAAGTTCTGCTTGGATAAAGATGGCCGGTAGCAGTTCGCAAAAGGCTTATGAGGCTCTCCTTCAGAAGGTTGAGAACGAGTGCGTCGCCCTTAAGCTTTCTTCACAGATGTGTGCAGACCTGAACGTGTCTGACGGTGGCCAGATTTATGTGGATGTACAGTTTCAGCTCAATCGAAAGCCTCTTTGCGACTGGCATGCTGCAATCGACAGATTGGGGCCTATCCAACTATGTTTGTTGTTTCCCACACCGGATGCACCGCAAATAAAGCATGAGGTATAATATATTTTATACTAAAAACCTAAAAAGCCGTGAGCCATGTGTGGCTTAGCTTCAATTAAATTTTTCGGTGGTTGGCGAACGTTTATTTAGAAATTGTTAAAAACAGC